ACCTGCTCTCCGCCGCCGGCGCACCCTGGGGCTGCAGGTAGGGGTGGTAGACGGACGGCAGGCTCCCCGACGCGTGCGGGCTCAGCGGCGCCCAGGAGGCGCCGAACACCGGCGCTTTGGGCTGGAAGCTGCAAGAGGGGAAGTCCAGGTGCTCGGCGTGGCTCGGCTGCCGCGGGTTCGCGTACTGGCCCGAAGGAAACTTGGCTGGAGGCGCGTCCTCGCTCTCGTGACTTATGATCGAGTCGACATAATAGCTGCTAAGCGTCCCAGAAATGGACATTCTCAGACATTATCCGCGCGCTCGCAGGGGGAAGGGAAGCGCTCGCGCCTCGGCGCCCAAGCAGGGAGAGGTGGTACACGGACCCGGTGTAGAGGGCTTTCGGACGCGACCCCCCCAGACCCCCACCCTCCCACCCCCACCCCCTGCTTAACTTCTCAGCCAACAAAGTACAGTGGAACAGCCCGGCTCGGAGCTTCTTGCAAAATGATTGGTCAAAGTTTTGCGGACTGCCTGATAAAGCGTCAGCTCCGACATAAATCAATCGGGCGAGGGGGCTGCGCTCTCGCTGTCATCCGTCCTCACCGCATTCCATATCCAGGATGGATTGTTTTATGCTGATGCAATGTGCTATCACGTCAGGGCTCCGGCGGCCACGTAACCTCAGCCAGAGCTGCCGGGCCGCCCGGGGCCCCTCCCGCTTTTGCAGGAAGGGGGGTTCTCAACATGGGGCGATGGGGGCGGAGGAGAGGCGGAGGCAAGCGGCAGGCTGCCTCTAGAGGGACTAAGGCTGCGGAGCCCTCTCCCCAGGCGGGTTGGAGAGGGAGGGGAGGAGGACCAGCATACAGGGAGGGAGGGAGAGCGCCCCAGCCTCAGAGCAGCGGGAGAGACCCGACAGAGTAATTAAAGAGGAGGTAGTCTTGTCACCCCCCCCAACACCTCCACCTCCACCCCGCAGGCCCTCATTTCCTGTCCTCCGTCCCCTTGACAGAGATGTTTATTAAACAACAGCAGCACAGCGACCCACAGGAGATGAAGTAAAAGGATTGGGAAGAAGTTGGGGATTTTATAGGACAGTTATCCTCTTCGGAGGGGGTTCAGGGCACAATTTGGGGAGATTTACATGACTAGGCTCTTCTCTTGATCCTTCAGAAGCTAAGAAAGGAGAAAGGGAAATTCAATGGGGCCAGTGTCCAAAGAATCATTATCTGGTCTGAAATTAGAGCCCGCCTAAGGCCAAAGGGACTCACCAGACCCTGTAACTAGTCTATGAAAGAGTTTCACGCGACTAACCAGTCTTATTTAACTCCGTGTAATTTCTTGGGCCTTTAGGAAGAGATGGGGTCCACGGCCATTTCTTCTGTCCTTCGAGACCATAACTGTCCAGATGAGGGGGCTGATGTGAGAAACGATTAAAGGAACTCTCCAGAGATGGGGACAGGGTCCCCAAACAGCACAGTAAGGGACACCGGGTTACTTTCCCTTCCATCCAAAAGCGGAAGGAGGCAAGCTAAATTCCCAGGACTCGTGTCCAGCTCTTCTCACCCGGAATTGTCGCTCTGGAAAACGTCCAAATGCCGACATAGGACAGTACCAAGTACAGCGGAGTCCCCAGGATCAGTCCGTTCCCCCACCCGAAGCCTTCCCCCTCCTCCAATCCTCTCGTGGAGCTTCCAAATAGTGCATTTTATTAGCAGCTATTCTGCTGCCCTGCGAAGGGACTCCCCCGAGGCCACTGGATGGCTTCCTGGCGGGTCTCCCAGCTACTGCCTCTGCAGCTTCTGCTTGGGTGCTGACGTCTTCCCGGGTGTGAGGCTCTGGGAAGCCCGGCCCCTAGACAGACTCGGTTTCCTCGGGTTAGGTCTAGGGACAGATTTCTTGACTGTTCTCTGACTCTGGACCTTTATTAGGCAGACTGCTCCTCAAGCCATGACCTCCTCTTTACCCTCCCCTCCTTTTGGAAAAAAAAAAAGTAAAAAAAGTGGAACCTTTCTAACTCGGGGTTATTTTGGGCCACTACCCCCTCTGCCCAGTAAAAAGGCTTCGGATCCCCTCCATGCATGCACACACACTCCCGCCCGCTTGTCTTTCCAAATGAAGCCATCTCGTGTCATTACGTGTGAAATACGAGGGCGAAGCGCCATATTTCTTCACATTATGGCGATTTCAAAATGATTTTTTAAAGATCAATGCGGGCGCCCAGCCGGCCCCTTCAATTCCACCCACGCTCTTGGAGAGAGACAGCCCAGCAGATCCCGAACCAAGTAGCGTGAAGACCTGTTTTTTTCCACAGTATCCAAATGGAGAAACAAAAATCTGATGCAAATTCTTCTTAGCAGCAGTTGGATGCTTGGGAAAGTCAAGGGAGCTTCCCGGATCTGCCAGCGACATGCTGAATGAATCGCATTCAGGGCAAAGCACCTGTCCCTGCTTTGCTAGACGTATGGAGTCTGCTATCAGTTTTACCTGTAATAAATATAGTCTTCAGGCAAAAAAAAAAAAAAATCTCCTCCCCTGCCATAAAATAACAGCGTTATGAAGCATGTCGAGGTGGGTATATGATTTTCTGTAGTATATAAATTAGGGTCCAAAAGGACACATGAGCTGTGGGCTGGGGCATTTTTATTTATGGAAAAGCCATAGACCAAGACTGTTTTTAAGACCCAAACTGTGCAGGCTCTGGCTCTGCCTGCTGCCCTCCTGGCCCCCATTCCTCTCCTGGGTTTTGCTGTAGAATCTCCACAAGGAGAGAGGAAGCAAGGGGCCCCTTCAGTTTAGGTAAAGAGTCAGGGGAAGAACATTTGGGCTACTGGCTTGTGCCCTGCAAAAGTGAGGCGATCATTTGAGTTTAGATTTGTGCGTGCTGTCTAAGAAGTTATCCTTAATCCCTGGTGGTTTCCAGTGTTGGGTGAAGAGGACACCCATGCCTCTTTTCTGAGTCAGCAGTAGTTTTGGTTTTTCCTCAAGATGCTAAGGGATGATAGCAACAATGTGGAGGGGACAGGTTTGATTGCGAGATCTGCCTTCTCAAGAGGCAAGAAAATGAACTTTTGCCCTCATCTCTGGAGTCTGGACCCCCATCTCGTCCCCCTGCAGCAGAAGATGCAGCAGCAGCAGGCAGGGAGTCTCAATCACCCTTGCCGCCAAGCTTTCCAGAGGGGATTGCTGCCTCAAACTGGAGTTCAACTTCAACAGAGGCAGATGACATGATCATCAGGGTGGGTGCCCCCTTGCTGGGGTGTTCTGTGAACTCATGGACCCCTTAGATCTTCTTTCCTTCCTAGGCAATGGTACCTACCATGCCAGAGCAGAGCGCCCACAACTGTGGCCCCTGGAACCCAGAGTCTAAATGTACTTAGTAAAAGTGACCAGACAGAGGTGCAAGGCTACTCTGCACCCCACCCCAACCCTAAAGAGAAAGAAAGAAAATCCTGTATTCCCTGCCCTCTTGTCATTTCTTTCTTTGGAGCTTGGTTGGAAGCATGGAAAAGCAGGGAGGAAGAAGGCAAAGCCCCTGGCCATGCTGGGGCCCAGGACAGCCAAGGACCAAGGATGAGCAGGAGGCAGAACCAGCCGGTAAGTGTCTGCTCTTTTTGGTGTGTGTGTTGGGGGGGGGGGGCTCTATCAGTACTAAGACAAAATCTAGGGGTTAAAAAGGGAGGGGGAGGAAAACAGTAAATGAGTAGATAGTTTGTGTTTAATTAATAAGCTAAAGCTGAGATTGATGCAGCTGGATTTGAGCAGGTAATTCTCCGGCATGTCTGTTTCAAACCAATATTTCTGTAGGGGAACCTAGTGTTCAAGTGTGCTCTGTTCCATCCATGTATAGTATATATCATCATCTTCCCAACTGCAATACTAGATGTGCCTGGGCACAGGCATTTGTGATCTAATTGTGCATATGTGGTTATATGTATAACCCCTGCAAATAATGTAGACTAATGGTGATTCTGTTCTTGATTTTAAAAATATGCTCCTAAAGTTGGTGTGCACATTAAAAAACAAAAACAAACAAAAAAACCAAAAATCCAACATACCCCTGGAGAAGACAAAATTCTGGAAATTCATGTGCCTAAATTTTGGCTATAAAATATTAACTGATTTGGAAGCTTCACTTGAAATCTTGTCTCTTAATTTAGTACTCAAGCAAAATTCATATTTCATCTTCAAATAAATGTATGTGGTGTAAAGCTGGATTTAATTACGGTGTCCTACCGGAACATTTTCCTGGAAGGTGAAGGAAATACCTCCAACTGACCCAGAAGAGGTCATGAAATTTGGTGACTTTTGTTACCCAACCATGAAATCCTTTACTGCGTATCTTGCCCCAACCTGCAGGGATGGCATGCACTGTGTGACACTTATTTCATGGTAGTGATGGGCATAGGGGTGGAAATACCATTACTTGTGTCTTGTACAAGTGTGAAGGGAAAGTAGACAAACGGAGCGTGACAGTCCTCAGGTAACTGTGGCGGTCACGCCAAAACACCCTTGCATACAACCAGATTGTTAAAGTCCCCAGTCTCTATCCTCCAGCACCAGAGACACTTCTGACCTCGAGACCTGCTCTGGAATACGGGGAGGTTTGAAGATACTTGTTTCCTTAGACATTGGAGGGGAAGCCAAGATCCCAGGACCCACACTCTTTGTCCAAAATAACCTTCAAACAGGGATCACCAATCTATACAGTGGGGCTCAAACTTGGGTGTTTCCACAGTCCCAAGCAAGGACCTTAATTGAAAAGTAACAGAACCTCTGACAAACTTCCCTCATAGGATATCAGAGGTCAGTGGCCCCGCTGGACTGAGTAATCTTCTTCCCAACTCCCAGCCACCACTGATATCCAAGACAGTGGGAGGCGGCTGAGTCCTTTGGGAGGAGGGATCAAGGAGGCCAAACGGGGTGGGCGGCAGGCAGAGCGGAAAGGGTTCTGAGCAGGTAGAAGGCTATTACACAATTGCTTCCATAAAACCTTTGGCTGTTGTAAAACTCTCTGCTTTCCAAAGAGTTTATTTTCTCCTTTCTCTCTAACATCCCCTTTTTTCTTTTTTTTACAGCGCTTTTCCTGGGAGGAGGTGGCCAGGGTGAGGAACCAAGGGGTGGACTCTGGTCATGCTCCTAGTGCCTGGGCAGGTTTCTAAGAGATCCAAAGAGAAGCAAGGTAAGGCAGCAGGAACATTCCAGACCCTCCTGGCCCACAGGGGAAGAGGAGAAAATATTAAAGGAAAGAGTATAGGGCCTTTCCTCATCAGGAGAGTGACTTGAAGCCAGAATATCCCCTAATCTGGGAGTGGGTCTCCCTGTACCCTCTGCCTTTGCAGAGGCCTCTTGTTCACCCCCACCCCACCCTCCTTTACAGTCTAAATAAGCCTGGCGCCTGAGTCCCATCCGGTTGGGGCCTCTTTCCTGGGCCCCTTTGCACATTTCCTCTGCCTCAAGCAGGGAAAGAGTTTAGGAACAAAAGTTAGCCTGTCCATTGGCAAGTTACCCTTCCACCAGCCCTCCTAGCAACTCCTTTCCTGGGCACAGAGCCAGCAGCAGCCTTGAAGGGCTGGGGTCAGAGAAGACAAAACTGCCTTGCCCTGTCCGGGCTCCAGCCCCACTGTGACACCAGGCTGTACTGAATAATCTCGTAGCTTAGATTTTCTTGCTAGTTAAGCCCAAGGGGCCCCCAGGACTTGTGTGAATCCACAGGCCAGTTCAGCCAGTAAAGGGCCAACTAGAGTTTGGGAAAGAAAGGACCCTCATCACCACCACCACCAGCAGCACTGCCTCTAAAAGTTCTATCCCACTAGAGGGCCCTAGGAGGGGGGACTCCGGGGACCTGCAAGCTTGAGACGCAAATGATGCTGATATATCTATCAGATTGGGAACTAGTGGCCCCTTAGAGAAGTTTCAAAGTTTTGCTGAGGTACAGCCCCCATCACACAAAGATTACAAAGACTCAGAGGCCCCATGTAAACCAAATCCATGCAGCTGAGAAACCTTCCAAGGAAGGTTTGACAGCAGATACAGGAGCCTACAACTTGAAACCCTGGCTCCCATCCCTGACTTTTCAAAAGAGTTCAGCCCTGCCCCCTCCTAAAGGTGTCCTTGAAGAGACGAAATATTTACAGGGTTACATTTTTCTCCAATCTCTCTCTCCCTCTCTCTCTCTAAGAGACACCCTAGAACTCCCCCAGGTTTCTTCATGAGGAACATTCCTGGCTGTTCCCAGATGAGGAACCTCAAACCTGCTTATTATTTTGCAAAGGTAACAGGCCAGTCCGGAAAGACCCTACCGGACTCCTCCAGCTAAGCGGGAAGCAGTAACTGCCGTGAATCAGGTGGTTGGATGTCGTTGTGTTCAGAAAGCCAGGCCCAACAACATGAAACTACCTAATTCACTCAGCAGTCCCAGTTCAAGCTCCAAGTCAAGGGCTCACTGGGGTGGGCTCCTGAGGCCCTCCTGTGGGCCAAAGTGGCCACAGAATTTACTTCTTCTACTTAACTTGTTTTCTTCTGCTGCTTCCTAACAGAGCCCAGTTGCTAGCAAACAAAGAATCTGAAGAGCTGGACCAGGATTCCAGAAACTTTGGTTCTTCTTCCAGGACCCTGACCAAAGAAGACTCTGGGCCCAGCTCTTAGCCTGGCCAGCCAGCATCTTTGTGCGATACCTGCTTGGCCTCTCAGGGCAGACCCGCTGGAGGGCTCCTCATATAAAAGGGATTCTTAACTTCAAACTGCTAGGAAGGTTCGCATCCACTCACCATCTGGCCAGTCCCTGGGCCCCAGGGTTACCCAGACTCCCAGGCATCTCTGAAAGGTCAAATCTTCCGACTGTACACGAACCCCAGCCTTGAGAAGGGAGAGTGGACAGGACAGCAGATCCAAGAAGAACTGAGAAGAAAAGAGACAGAAAGCCAGAGTCAGAGAGTATCGGGAATTCTAGGGCACAAACTAGGCTAGTGGGAGCAGGAGATTGACTGGAGGAAACACACTAGGACTCTGGCTCCACAGGGCTTACCAGCCCCAGGTAGGACACTCTTTAAATCTGCACTTACAAAGAAGGGAGATGTTGAGGACCTGGCTTGGGAACAAGTTTGCTTCTTTTTTGTTCTCTATTTTGCTCCTCCGTCCCACATATGCACACCCTCACAGGTGCTCCCGCAGCTGAGGCCACGACTGTCAGAGGCCTCCTGGAGACTTACCTGAGCCGGTGAGGGGGCCCGCACCGCACTGGGAACGGGCATGGGAAGGAGCCGGCTGGACCTGGCTCGCTCCCTCCCTGCACCCGAAGGCGAGTGGCAGCCTCGCGGCTACAGTATCCACCGTATCCGGAGTAGTGGAAGTCGGAGGTAAGGAGGGCGTCTGCCTGGCAGCCGGCTTCTCCTCCGGGGGCGTAAATCTTGGGGACCGGAAATACAATAAAACTTCACCGTGCTGATGAACTTCAAACAGTTTATATCCCCTCTGTCCTAAAAAGAAACACGGCCAGGGACGGATAAAAGGGAAGGGAAACAATTTACGAGGCGAAGGAGCTTGCACAGACTCTGTTCGCATGGAGAGAAGGCTCCCGAGTCTCGGTGCCCTTCGTTCTAGCCGGTGGCCAGGACTGGAAGCCAACGTCTAACCGTCTAACCAACCAGGGCCGCTAGAGCCCAGAGCACAGTCAAGGGCTCTGGCTGTGGGCTCCTAGCAACCTGCCTAGGTAGAGCTGGGCGCCCTGAACTCCTCGAAACCAGCCTAGTCCCGTGTCCTCCCAGTACTGTCTGTCTGCTTGATGCGGGTTTTAGGGGTTTTCTGCTCTCCGGTTTCTAGACCTTTGCCCTGCCCCGCCTGTTTATTGCCAGGTACTTGCTAGAATAGGACGTGGGGTAAGACTTGGAAAACTCCCAAGGCCTGAAGGGGACTGAGCAGTGAGGGGCTCCAGGGGAGAAATCCACGGGGACCTCCTTGTCCGGTGTAGAGGGCAGAAGTTGACAGAGCACAGTGGTATCTGGTCTCCACCGAGTTCCACCGCTTGCTTCTCTCTTCTACCACTCTTTTAAAAGCTTCAAAACCAAATCAAAACAACCAGTAGTTGAACCTCAGCTTGTCAATGCTCTTTCTGTGACGTACAGTTTGCTTTTTTAAAAATTTCGTGGAATCCGGATTTGGTAGCAAGGCCCTGCAGCAAAACTAACTGGAAGAAAAAAAATCCCATTCTTCGGGGGCCCCAGAGTATCAGAAGTCACAGCAGTGGCTTCTTACCCTCTTTATCTACCCAGAGTACATGGATAGGGAATTTAGGGGGACAGCAAAGGGATTCCATGCATCCCAATTATTCATCAACAAACACCAACACTTCAGGTCCAAAATATACTTGTAAGGCTGTGATTACCTCGGGCTCTGTTCAGGTACTGGGCTGAGGCTGGGCTGCAGGCCCAGAAGGGGTATCCTGCCCCACAGACACACAGGTGCAGGTCTGACCTAGCCAACTCATTTCCCCCCTCCAGGAAATGCTGCCAGAGCGCCGCTGGAGATTTTCTTTTTAAATAAAATTTGAAAAATGGGCTCAGAAAATATCAAATCGTTTGCCATCTTTTTTTTTTTTTAATCTGAACAGCTGAATTGGCTGCCCCATTCTGTCCCAGATTGGCCAGGAGTGAGCAGCAGAGTGGGGGCCTGCCCTGTGGGGGCTTCCTGGCACTGCACACCGAGAGGGAGGATCATCTGGGACAGGAAGTTCCTATAGCAATGGAATATTTGTTTTCTCAAAATGACATGGGGAGACCCCTCCAGCTCCACTCTTTATGTACCCCACTATGTTTCAGCCCTCATCATCCTCCATTTCTATGTTTCTTGTTTCAGCCTTCATCATCTTCCATTTCTGTTAAAAGTACTGTGTCAGCTGCCATGGCTTCTGTTAGCATCTCCCTCTCTAGAAGCTGGAGAGGAAGGAGGAAGATGGACAGGGAGGCCAGTGGTTCTCGGGCTACTCTGACCTATTATTTTTCCATCTCCAAAGGAGCTGCCTGGTCAGGGATGACTGTGGCCCAAGGCTAGTGTGCTGGCTCCCAGCTCACTGCTGGCCTGGCCTCTCTAGCTCCACGGAGGAAAACCAGAAGAGGCTACAGCCTTAGCACAGCAGGCCTGTGTGCGCACACACTCCAGGGGCGTTTTCAGGGCATTGTTCGGTGTCTCTGCTCCTTCCTCTCAGCTCCAGAACTCAGGCTATTGGTCTTAGTTTCGAAAAGAAAGCTGTGTGGATCCAAAGGACACCTCAAACCTGTTCTCCACTTTTCCCTTCTAAGGTCACCCTTATCTCAAAAGGCCCCAGCTCAGCACAGACTCCCCTGGGCAGGGAAGGATACTGGTGTCTTTCAAGTACCCTGGCACACACACTGTTGCTGGGATACTAGGGGAGGCGTGACTAAGTAAAGTAAGGCTATCTGGTCAGGTCTTCTTATTACCCCTCAGTTGTTTCCCAAAACACATCCATCTCCAAATTATTTAGAAATTCTATAGTCAAGCTAGAAGAGGCAAGGGTAACTTTTCCATAGCCCCCCCCCTTTTTTTGTCTGGAAGTTAAAGCATAGTCTTAGTGTGAACAGGAGAAGGAGCCGCCGAGGCTGGGCAATGTGTGTAGTAAGAAGCAGTGTGGACATAGACACAGAATCTAAGAACCTTAAAAGGAACTGACATGTTGATTCTTTCAATGAGAGTCACAAGGATAAATACTTCTTAGAAATCCCTGGTCCCTTCCCCTTCCTGAGGTTCAATATGGAGCAGAGAAGGGGCGGTTTCTGATAAGTCAAAAGTGCCAGAAGCCAAGTCCCTGACCCTAGCTGGAATTTTGTTTTGTTTTGTTTCTGCAAGTCTGGCTGTGTGGCTTGGACAAGCAACTTTGTGGTCGCTGAGAGAAACCGAGGACCCGACCGACCTCTAGGCGGCGCCCTGGCGTTGAATCCGCGCTCGCGCCCGCAGCCACGTCCTCTCCGAAGCTCGGCGTCCAGTCCTAGGACAGAAGGGACAGGTTCCTGCGGACGCTACGGGCCTGGTTGGCTTAGAGCTGGCCGCCAGCGCGTCGCCTTTGGCGCCCTCTGCCAAGCAAGAGAAACAAGATTAAAGAGTGCTGGCTGGGAAAGGATTGGACAGCTACGAAAGGCTCCACCAGTTCCCCAGCCCCCACCCCTACACAGCTCCGCGGTGCTGGGGAGCCTGCCAGAGCGGAATCTCCTTTGATCTTCCCTGCAGCCCGCAACAGCAGCGTAGCGCCAGCATCTTTAACTCCCTCCCCCAACTAGCAAAAGAAGCCCCACCCCACCCCATCCCCATGTCTGGAGAAATTAAGTAGTAAGCCCAAGATGTGAGCAAAATTTAAGAATAATCGAACAAGTCTGGAGAAAGTGCCCTCTACTCCAAAGTGAATATTCTATTCCAAATAACCATCGTGCTCCTCAACAAACGTAGTGGCTTTCTCTGAGCATAATTCCGTTCATTTACGAACTACAACCTTCAGAGATTGTCTTTGTTGCAAATTCGGGTTTCCTGGGTTTTGGGTTTCAGACTTGGTTCAATCCATTGGAACATTGAAAGTGAAGGCGGGGTAAGCTCAACAAAGACTTAGAGCCAAGCTGGGTGGTTGGTGGTACCTTTAATCCCAGCACTTAGGAGGCAGAGGCAGGCGAATCTCTGTGAGTTCAAGGCCAGCCTGGTCTGCAGAAAGAGAGTTCTAGGGCTGCCAAGGTTACACAGAAAAACCATGGAAAAAAAATACAAAATCAGCCCAAGTCAAGCCCAACCCCTTCCTCCCAGAAAATAACCAATTTCTAACCTTCCTGGCTGAGTGATATTGGATCAAAAGCCCAAAAGAAAAAGACTCACTGGACAGGGAAGCGGAGATTGAAAACCTTGTGAAACTAAAGGAAGGTGTCAGAAGCCTTAAGGTTCCACACCCCCAAAGCCAGAGAGCTTTTGTAGTCAGAACCAGTAACTGTATTAAGTTCTAGGTGGGGCAAACGGAGCCTTAAGCGGATCTCTGACCCTGTGACCCTGAGCTCAGGTTCTAAACAGACCTAAGAACTGTGGGGCAGAAAACATCAAACTTTCTAGGGAAGTCCCTGGACCGGGTAGCAGAGGACAAGAGCCATCTACGGGACAGACCGCGGCCCAGTGCCTACAGAGGTCTCTGGTCCCAGGGGACGCACAGACGCACGTTTCCCAGCCGGGCACCAGATCTCCTGGACGTCTAATTACCCAGCGCACATCTGGAACAGCTGCGCCCCACCCGGCCTCGGGCACATTATTTCTCTCCAAACCCTATTTTCATTCCCAAGGCTGAGTCATAAAAGACTCTGGAGGCAGAATAAAGTCAGGTCTGTGTGTGTCAGCATTCCTGTGTGTGTGAGTGCGTGAGTGCGCACGCGTCCACGTGCAGCGTCTGGCGTCTGTGCGTCTCACTGTGATTGCCCAATGGATTTGCAAAAGTTAGGGGGGGAAATGGAGCGACATCAGGCGAATTCAACTGCGAACATACTGTGGGCCTCATTATCCGCCCATTTCAAGGGAAAGCATTTGGGTCGTGGAATTAGCCAGTTAATTGCCACACTTCTTTGTTCATTTCAGGGCAGGGGAAGCTATCTGCCTTCTAGTAAAATAGTTTGTATTTCAAAGCTTGAAAGTCTCCTCATCCTTAGTTTTTTTCCATCCTGTTATAGATTATATCTTGGAACATGATTTGCCAGGATAATCCCCCCGGCGGCCCCCCCCGGGGGGTGGGGGGGTGTAAGTCCCTGTCTCTCTCTGTCTGTTTCTCTCTCTGTCTGTCTCTCTCTGTCTGTCTCTCTCTGTCTCTCTGTCTCTGTCTGTCTCTCTCACGCACGCGCGCACGCGCACACACACACACACACACACACACACACACTTCCTGACTGGAAAATATCTTTCTTTATGCATCTACAAAAAAGCTGGAAGCCTTAGCTCTTAAGATTGTTTTAATAAAACATGTATTAAATCCTAGGATTTAATACGATACCTGCTGCACAGGGAACATTTTAAAAAATGCTAATAGCAAGGAAGAGAGAGGAGGAAGAGGAAGTCTCCTTTGTTCTCAGAGAACCAGTCTAGGTTGGAGGGCGTGAGCCTCAGCCTGTGCGTGTGTAATGTCTTCTTTTGACTTGGAGCTGTGTCCATAAAAGTGAGGCCCTTTGAACCTCACAGCCTGTAAACTACCTCTTCAATAAGGAACAGCGGATTGGGGCAATTATCTGGCTCATTTCAGGTTCAAACTCCCAGCAGTCTGAAGTATCTGAACCTCGTGAGGTGTGTTGGGGGGGGGCGCGTCTGGAGAGCTTCAAGATGAGTTCTTTGCCTTTACTGAAGTGAGCAGGGTCCTGCCATAGAAAATGAATGGAAAATATACAGGGGGGCTGAAGGTTGGGGTGAAACAGAGCATGTGAAAAGTGCTTGAGGAAGAACTCAGCCTCACACCTGCCCAGGAAACCCTCCAACTAGGGGAAGACTTCTGCCTGGCAGGGGCCTTTATTCCACATCGAGGAACATTTACTGAGCTCCTCCCACGT